TGCAACCCACACAAGTCTCTCACTGGCTTTACGAAGACGGTGATGGCGGGTATGCATATACAGACTTGTCCACCTAAATATCAACCACGTGCGGCTGCGACACTCCGGCCCCTTTTCCGGCACCTACTCCGGACCTTACTCCGCTCCCTACTCCGGCCCCTACTGCAACTCTTACTGCAACGCCTGCCACTCCTGCTTCTACTGCCACCCCCGAGCCTACCGCTGATGGTTTGACGCCGACACCGCGTACTCTTGCGGATACTTCTTCTCCCACTCGCGCTCCTGAAGTTGCATCTACCCCGCCTCCATTGAGCACCGCCTCGGATGAAAGTTGGCGCAGATTGGCGATGAAGGTGTAGATTATAGGCGAAAGTGCTTTCGTCGACGGGTCCGTCTTGGAAGACCTTCGAATGTTTGTGGCTTGAATTCATCCATTGTTTTGGGCTCTGGTTCGCTTGTTCCTTCTTCTGCCTTCCTTTCCTGGAATATGACGAATCTGCCATCGGTGGCATATGTCTTTGTTTATTTCGATCTTCTTCGTTTACTCGAGTCTACGACTTTTTGGCATTGTCCAGAAAAGAGCTCGTGCACTCTCTTCTTTTGTCGATGTCGCTGTTCCCTATTGATTGTCGTTTGCACAAAAAATACAAAGGTCCATGCAAAACCCCGAAATTCGTGACCTATGGCGTTAAGAGAGACGAGACTCATCTACAATTTCTCGGCACACGACAACATGTGGAAAAGAAATGCACCTCCCCGCTAGTGGTTTTTCGTTGCTCTCCTGTGGCGCCCAAAAATATCGAAGGTCTTGTGCAAGCCGCAAGCACCACGGCGGAGCACAGCTGTAGGGGCCACACACGTTTCTGCCTTGTGTTGCAAGGTTTGCAGAATTTGCAACCAATTCATACAGGCTCTCGTTGTGTGGGAGGCAACACCGCGATGTAGGAGCGCCACGGGGAGATACACACCCAACCTCTAGCCTTCGCTGTCGGATGATTTGTACTCGATTTTTTTTTCTCGGCGAAACCAGCAGTTCCGGCGGGCGTAGTGGCTGGAGAGGTGGTGGCGGGCGTGGTGGTGGTCCCGTCGTCCTGACTGCCCTGTTCAAGACTGGTCGCCTGAAGATAAATCGCACCGGGAACCAGCGGAAGCTTTCTCCTGACGATGTCGCTAGCAGCTCTGGGTCCACGGGCAACGCGCGGCCCGCGGCTTCTGAGGCCCCCGTTCATCATCAGTATCCCGTTTCCTATCAGTATCCAGAGGCCATTCAGTAGCCCGAGACGGAGTGAGTCAATGTCGCACTGTGGGTGAGTTTTTCGTCGTCTTCATTGGGTCTTGGACAACGTTGACCAACCGTGGGCTGTTGCCGTGACCTTTGCGCCTGAGCTTTGCCGGAAGCCTTGGTTTGAAAATTAGCGGTGCAAACAGATATTGAAGCTCCCACCCAAATACTGGCGGTATTTTCGTGTGGCCCCGGGACTACCTCTCTTGAGAACTAAAAAGCTAGTTACGGCGGGGCCTGTTAGGTTTAGAAGTGGATGTATTGTAATGCAATTGATTCTTTCCACTCGCCGGGGTCGACCGTCTGTGCGTTGTTGTGAATATGTTTTAGCTCTGCCACTTTTTGCCACTTCGGGCATACATCAGCGGCAGTGGAGTGGTGCTGATAGTGTGGGTCGTTTGAATGGGCGCTCTAGCTATGATCCTCGGGAGACTGTCTTGTGAGAAACATCTCGTCCATTTACCGTTTTCTGGTATATATATATGGTATTGAAACTGGCGTCTCAACTTCCTGATTCGAGAAGGGTACCGATGACGATTGGGATGAAATGGGACGAGGACCGCGGGGTTGAGCCATGTTCCTGACACTCGGCGGAACAGCACACTCGGGCAAATGTACTTTGCTGACAAGACTGGGCCATGGTTAAGGTGACCAAGGCCGGCGCTCCCGCACGCTTATCATCTCATGTGCGTTCAAGTCATGTTTGTTCCGGACGCGAGTTTCCAGTGTATATTCCTTGGAGTCTCGATTTTGGTTGACTACTCGTTGTGGTTTACAGATCCCAAGCGCTGAAGCACACGTGCATGTAAGTTATGCGAATGCTTTATAGCCTGGATCAGTTTTTGTCGAGATGAACGGTCTTACCAAGATGATGGACAAGTTTCTCTTCGGCAATGCCTATCTGCTGATTGCGATGTTTTCAAGGCGGCAAGGGGTTTATTCGGATTGAGGTTAATGGTATTCCGGTCGCGGGTGTTCGTTGTCTAGCTTTGTGGTACTCGGCCCGTGCAAAGGGCCTTCTATGTAGACTATTTTGCGACTCTTACTAACTTTGTTTTCGGTTTGGACGTCGAGAAAATCGGAGAAGGATAGTATCGGATTATGATCGCCTTGGTGATTGGACCCAAGTATTCTAAGAGTTCTGAAGTTCGCATGTAGTCTAGTGAAGAGGCTCAACTGCGAGAGAGGGGTGTTGAGCTTGGCCCGGTTGACAATTCCTTTCCCTCGCCCTGAGTATTGGCTTTGAGAAGGCTACTTAATAACGGGTAGATTCTTTGTTTGGGTTGATTGTGGTATGTGAGAGGTCTATACTTCGCGTCTACCCGGACGTATCTGCACTTTTTGCGTGACACGTGTGTGCCCCGCCATCAATGTATGCCATGGCAGCGCTCTCTGTGTGACCGCGAAGTTGGAAGTATCTTTGAGGTGTAGACTAAGTGTGTTTGTCTTGCAGGGCGTCAAATATGTGTTGGGTGAAGTCCTCCCGAGGAGGGCGTTTCGCACGTGTCCCCTCCGCTAGCAAAAGAGTTGGCGCCCGGGAAAAATATGTGTGCGTGCAATTCTTTCTGTTGAACATGAAGGAAGTGGAATAATATTGGCAAGCAGAGACATATTTCTATGTAGACTATAACAAAAAAGCGAATGAACGTTTTTTCGAAGCTCCTTCCGGACCGAACCAGTCGTGGCATACTTAGAACCTTTGCATTCCTCTGCTCACAGCTGGCAGGCCCACCGATCCGACGTATCTTTTCGGCAAAATAGAACGATTTTGAATATTTTCGGTCAGCGTGGTGAGCATCATGTAGATCGACATCGTTCTCCGACCAGTGGTCTGTGTGTTTCCATGGGGCTAAGACTTCGTACGGGGGTTACAACAACGATTCGATACGGATCTAAATCAAAGTCAAACTAATGAAATAGCAGCCGGGTGTTGTGGGATTTGAATGCGTAAGAAAGTGCCAACGGTAGTGGGGACTAATGCCCAGAGGAAAGTGCGGGAGGTGTAACCCCCGATTGAAGGATAAAGCAGGGGACAGGACCTTTGTAGCCCCGGTCAGAGGGAGATGGTCTGCCCCCACATGCTCAGTCTACCACAGCGAGCAAGGAATCAGCATGCACTGCTATCCAAAGAGATGAATCAGCAAGTGAGTCTTCACCAGGGTCTTCAGGGATTGCTACGCGTGTCTATACCATTACACTTAGCGTGTCGGCTTGTAGGGAACACACAGCTTTCCCTAGACTTTCGTGCTGTGCTCGCTTTGGCGCGAGAGCTGTGCTCAGTTGTTGCCTTCTCGCCTGCTGCTGATGATGAGCATCAGCGGTCTCGTCTGCTTTCCTTTCTGGTAGGCCTCACCGTGGCAATGGTAGTCGGAAATGCACTGGTTCCAGTGGCTCTATGCCTACTGCACTGTGCTGTGCACTGAGCGCTCGATTACCTCGCAGTCGTTGTTGTGTCATGGATCGCATGTGGCTCTTGTCCCGCATTTTGCCGTTCATGCGGTGGGGCACGTTTCGTGAAGGGTGCCCCATAGACTAGTAGAAGCCCCAAAAATAGGTGAACAACGGACAACTGTTTCTCGGCCGGGTAACCAGGTGCGTGCGGGATTACTTTTACGTGCACCTTTGCATGACATCGTTTGCGTTCGGTGATTTGAACTTGCGCTACAGTAGACGATTCTTCAGCTTGACAGTCCCGACATTCAAACTATCCAGTCAGACTGTTCATGCTTCTGTCGATACAAATGCCGCTACCTCGAACACCCTCCATTGGGGCTGTCGTCTCGATCAGACCAAATAAATATCAGAAAATCAGAAACCAAAACGCAACTCAGACCTCTACTTGTCTTACTTGTTAGGTCTCGAGCCTAGAACAAAATCACGATGAACCTCAAAAAGGTTTCTCGGCAAAGCCTTCGTCAGGATGTCTGCATGCTGTTCTTCGCTAGAAACGTGACTGACTGCCAACTCTCCCTCCTCTGTCAAATTCCTAAGAAAATGGTGCCTCACGTCTATGTGCTTACTGTTCCACGAGCTAAGGGGATTCTCAGCAAGCGCAATCGCACCCTCGTTGTCCTCAAGGACCTGGATCTTTCCAAGTTTCTCACTAGGCATTAAGAACTCTAGCATTCCGTTCACAAACAGATCTTCCTTCACACCATCGTCCATCGCAATATACTCTGCTTCAGACGTCGACCATGAAACACATTTCTGCGTCCTAAAAATACAAGCAACAAGACAGTCAGCTACAAGAACTAATGCTCCCGAAACTGAATACGGTCAGTGGCCTTGATAGCGAAGTCAGCATCTACGTACACCAACGTGCCTACTTCTACCGTATCATCCTGCTTGTACTTCAAAGTTTGATGTGCCGTCTCCAGAACATAATTCAGAATCTTCTGGGCCGCCTTCTAGTGGCTTTTCTTTGGCTCATGAGAATGCCTCGCCACTGCCCGCACAGCATTCGAGATGTCGGGCCCCGTCTGGTTGGCGATCCACATCAGGCTTCCCACCACCTCTCTCCATCACGGACCTGTAAGCGTTAGCAGGGGAAGCGGGGATCGAGCTGGCGCGACTAGTATTGAATCTCTCGAGAACACTCCTTATGTAACTCTCTTGAGAAATCTCAATCGTGCTAGCCTCGCGGTCGGGACTAAACGCGCAACCAAGGAAGAACTTGACCTCGTCCAAATCCCTCGTGGGAAGAGAGTCACCCAGCGCTTCCACAACCAACTTGGCGAGCCTCTCAATTCCTCCATATAGAATGTCATCCACATGAATCGCGACCATACCCATCACCTCGTCCCCCATAATGAAACGAAGAACACACGGGTCAGACAGAGACTGCTCAAAACCATTTGTCTTCAGGTTCGACACTAGTCTCTTGTGAATGTTCTAGATGCCTGCTTCAGTCCATACAAACTCTTGTCTAAACGGACGACCTTTCCTGACATCGACTCGCAGCCAGGAGGCAACTTCATGAACACCTCATGATCCAATTCCGACTGAACAAACGCTTGCTAAATGTCAAAGTGGAGTAATTCCAAGTTGTACTTGCACGCCAATGCTACCAGCAAACGAATCGATGCAGCATTTGCAGTAGGCGAGAAAGTCTCAAGATAATCCACACCATGCTTCTGCTTGAAGCCCTTCGCTACAAGACCAGGCTTGGCCTTCACCATCTTGCCTGTTTCGTCTGCTTTCCAGTTGTAGACCCATCTAGCATCTATCACGTTACAGCCTATCGGGGCCTTTACTGCTAACGCGAACGTTCCTGCTCTTTACAAGCCTTCAAACTCTGGAGGCATGGCTTAGTCCCAAATCACAGTGCTTTGACTGGCGGGCTTTTCGGTAGCTACCAGGCTCTGTCTCTACATCCTGAATGAGCTCTCTCGGCAGTTCCATAGTATCCGACGCTCTCTGCCCCACTAAGAGTGCTTCTACAATTTCAGATGCGGGGATAGGTCCTAGAGTGGCCATGAGACCGGATACGCTCTGCTGGTTTACGGTCCGAGTTTGCGCACGGGTTCTGCAACTTCTAACTTCATCATTCTGATTTGCAGCAGTGTTGTAACTAGCAAGCTCATGCTGCGCACGACGATTAGATGGTCCGCGCGTAGCAGGGGGGAAGTGTCTCCGATTCTACCTCCTGCCCTCCCGGCTCCACGAACTCTTCATCCAAACCTTCCTGACTCTCCGACTCTACCTCTTGCCCTCCCGGACCCGCCGATTCTGCCTTCCCTGTCTCCGCCCCTCCCTGCTCTCCCTCATCGGTGAACTCGGCTGCTGGAGAAGACACAGGGCTACTAGGGCAATTAATCCCGGGCGAAGATGGCACAGAGGGGGATTGGCCTACACTACCTGCATCAACATTGCCAACCTCATCGATTTCTCCGTCAGAGACCGCTTCATCACGTCGCAGAAGAATATGGGGTACTCCTCTTCCTCCAAGCGGCCATGCCTCGGCTTCTCCATCATCGTCACTTTCCTCCTCTCCCTTCCCTGCTACCTCTATCGGCAAGAGAGATGGTTGCGGTGGAGGGAGTTGTGACGGCAATGCCTCCCATGTCACGTCACTCGTTTCTTGAATAGTCCCTGCCCTCAGAAGCACTCTATGACAGTCACGCGGGTGGTCTCTCGAAGGACCGACACAAAAGCANATGGGGTACTCCTCTTCCTACAAGCGGCCATGCCTCGGCTTCTCCATCATCGTCACTTTCCTCCTCTCCCTTCCCTGCTACCTCTATCGGCAAGAGAGATGGTTGCGGTGGAGGGAGTTGTGACGGCAATGCCTCCCATGTCACGTCACTCGTTTCTTGAATAGTCCCTGCCCTCAGAAGCACTCTATGACAGTCACGCGGGTGGTCTCTCGAAGGACCGACACAAAAGCAAGCCTCACCGTTCGGCAGCAGCTTAGACGGTCGCTGCCACCTACAGTAAGCCGGTTTCAAAAACGGATACGGTCTAGCAGGACTAGCTTCGCCATACCACATCTCATACGGGGACTTGCTGTCGGGGTAAGCGGAACAAGCTGTGTGGTTAAGTGCTTCGCAAGCCCAGTGCATGGCCTCAGCCCAGAGTCTGTCAGTCTTAGGTAACTGCACATGCCCAAACAAAAACCTTCGCCTGAATACGAGCCGCCATTGCAGCTGCCTCAATCAATCCCAAACCACGCTCTGCAACACCGTGTATTGTGAACTGGAAACCGGGGTGAACTCTTGCTTAATCAAGAGCTCATTGCACACTGACGCAAATTCCCCTCCGAAAACTCCCCCCCAATGTCAGATCAAACAATCTCAACCAATGATGGTGGGTTTTTATCAGCACGCACACTAACACACCGGTCGCCTCGGTGGTCTAGTGGTATCCTCGTAATCCACTACTCGCAGAGGTCGTGAGTTTGAATCCCCATGGGGTGAAAATTTTACGAAATATGCGGGTGAAAGCGACAATAGCTAAGAAGCTGTCGTGAGTACCAAACTTCGACGTTAGCACCGTTGCCGAGGGAAAGGGACGGCTGGACCCTTCTCGCGACAAGAAAAAATTCAGCACGCACCGCAGGAGGAAGGTGGGGCATGAAAAGAAATAAAAAGAAGAAAAAAGCCCTGGTGTTTACCCCCTCCTGTGTGACCCTGGATGGTTGTAGTTGTACGAAAAAATACACTATGCAAGTGTAGTACGCTACATACGCTGACAAGTGTAGTACACGTCTCACCACGAAAAATGGGGGGACTGTCGCCATAATAAATAGGACGGAAAAACACACACAACACTAGCAAGGAAACTTCTGGAAGCACCCCCAGCGTCTGATTCATTTCTCAGGAAGTACAGCCATGTACGTCCAGTGAAATCATCCTTCCCTATCATGGGGTAATGTTTACCCCCTACGGACGCAACGTCCTTCCGCCTTCCCAGGTCAACAAAAACTCTGCCCAACTTTTTGTCTGATCTGCGTTTAGTTTCACGAGCAATTCCTTTCCTGAATGCCTTCGACATCGAACATCCCGTGCAAGCATTCAATTCACCAGTCAATTCAGTATTCAGTCGCTTTGCAGTTGTACGAAGCAATCCCTCATGGGCATGAGCATAAATGTTATGGAACTCGTTCACATCCATCTTAGTTTCATACTTGGGGTTCGAAGGAGTGAGGGCAGCCAACACCGAACCAATTGAGTTATCTTCGAGACGATACGCAGTCGCAATCAGCATACTATCGAATTCATGAAAAGTAACTTGTTCGTCGAAAGCAGTCATCACTCTTTCAGGACCACCAAGGTAATTCCATGACTCACCGTCGAACTCTGCACTGGGAGAAAAGAGGTGGTATCCCAAGTTGGGAGAGTACAATACGTTCTCCAACTCTACACAAAACTAGTTGTCAGGACTCACAAATACCAACTCCAGGGTTCCAGAGAATGTCACCTCACAAGTCACGCCACCAATCCCTTCTATATTCTTATCGCAAGGCTTCAGATTCTTCATGCAAGAGAGACGGTCTGTCATGTGGAAAGCTGTACCCGTATCCGTATACCAATCTTCGATGCGACTGTCCTTCCTAGCAATAGAAAAATATTTGCGAAAAGCACCGTCTCTACGCGAGTTCTCTCTCATCACTTCGTTGTAAAATGCCTTCATACGCGCACCATACGATTTTGGCAGATTGTCATGAGATGGGATCACGAAGCTAGACTTCGATTGTCGAAACCTTTAATGATTTCTTAGCATGCCAAATCTTCCATGACTTCGCAACATAAAGTTAGAATTCTCACCGCTCTCATCCTCATCCTCCTTGGATTTCCCAGTCTGGGAGGGATGAGGGATCACACGAGCCACGCAGTCCGATCTCATGTGGCCCTTCTCCCCACACTTGAAACACGTCCCCTGGAACTTCTTCTTGGACGAATCAGATCCAGAGTTAGTTTTCGACTTGGAGTGGTTTGATTTCTTGCTACTCTTCTTTTCTCCCCTAGACGCAAGAGCAACACTGTGCTTCTTCGCATTCACTTGTATCTGCAAGTCAAGGTATCTCTCGCGTACTTTCGTGTCGATGAACACAGGGTCGTTTGGGCAAAACACTGCCAGTCTCACGCAAAGTCTTAAACTCTTGGGATAGTCCCTCGAGCATCAGGGTGCACACCTCCCTGTCATCCTTCTTAACTTCTAGCATCTGCACAACTCCAAAAGAGTCTCTCTTATAGACGCGAAGAAGGTCGAGGGATTCTCATTCGGGCGCATGTGCAGCGACTTGAGTTTCTCTTCTTGTATACGGATCTGACTCTGACTCAAAGGAAGAAAGTGATCCAACACTCGAAATGCCTTGCTGGGGGATCCAGCATGCCTAGCCATGGTTTTGAGGGAGTCTTTCTCAGGCAGTCAAACAGAAACCACCATGCCATCTCTGCCTGGCGCAGCACGCCTACGCTGTATCCTTTGCCTACCAAGGGAGTCAAATCGAATCCAATGTCTGCAATCGGAATGTCATGCATTGACACAAACGCTTTACAAAGATTGTTGTGACGGGCACTCAGCAAAAAGTTCTACGACCACGATGGATACGAGACATCAATCCCGTCGAAAACAGGAGCTTTGGGAACTTTAAAAGGGCTCCTACCCAACTTCTCTTGTGTCATGCTTCCATTACGAGGGGAGTCGAACGTGAATCTACTGTGGCCAGCATGTCGAGGGTCCATGGTGGACGTCTCCAACAAGCGTTGCGCTTACGGAGGAGGGTGCGTCAGATACCATAATACAACAGCCAGGGTGGAGAGACGGATGTTTTCTGCCGGCAGCATGCCGACGATTCAATGTTGGACGTGACCAGCAAGCGCTGCGCGTACCTTGAAGGGTGCACGAGGCAGCAGACCTTCGGTCACGAAGACACCCAGAAAGGGATTTACTGCAAATCCCATGCTGAGGAGTCCATGGTGGACGTCGGCAACAAGCGCTCCGCCCACTCTGAGGGGTGCGCTAGTCGCCCGACTTGGGGGTTCTGGGCGGACGGCAAGAGCACCGTCTGTGCCAAACACAAAGGCCACCTCACCGGCGGGTTGCTCATTAACTTCAATCAGCGGTGTAAGGAAGCCGGTGAGGAGGGGTGCGGCAGTACTGTGAAGTGGGGGATGGGCGGCGAGCAGCCGACTCACTGCCACCACCACGGTGCAGCCAGGGCGGGAGAAGGCTTCGTCCCCATCCCGAGCGGTTGGGGGACTTCGTGTTCTTCGTAACTCGCATCGGGCGCAGCCTCGGAGAGGCACCATGCCACCGAGAGTGTAGGGAGCGGGAGCCACAGCGGGGGTGGCGTCGAGAACAGCCACACTCCGGAACCCCCTCACCCGGTTGGGGATGTGCCAGAAGATGGCGATGGCGACGGTGATCGGGGCTCCATCTTCGGCGAGATGGACGGAGAGGACGATAGTTCGGAGGCAAATGTGGTGCTAGAACCAAAATGCGAGATCGCAGTTTCGCTATAGCGGCGACTAGCAGGCAAATGTGGTGCTAGAACCAAAATGCGAGATCGCAGTTTCGCTATAGCGGCGACTAGCAGGCAAATGTGGTGCTAGAACCAAAATGCGAGATCGCAGTTTCGCTATAGCAGCGACTAGCCGTCTTCTTTTCGCCCTCTCGTCAGAACAACCGTCCATTCGACAGTTCAAGGAGGGAGGCCGGTAGCTTCAGGGGCGTCTACCGCCGCCGTGACTTCGTGTTCCTCCTCTTAATCTTCTCGATACAGGCAGTGTTGGGTCTTCTGCGGTGATGGCCTCCTTGTCTTCTAAAGCCCGTAGATCGACGCTTTATTGGGGGTTGATTGTGCCGAATGGTGGTACGTAGGATAGGGATATCATGCTGCTTCTTTTGTTTTACAAGGTGATGAGGTGCACGATTGCCGAGAGTAGGGCGGTAACGTCGGTGGTAGCGTTTGATGTTCAAATTGTCTCCGATCTTGAAATGTCCTGGTGTACTGAACTTTGTCGAGGGCAGCGACACTTTTTTTCGTGCTGGGATTCTCGCCAGCAGCTCGTTACATAGCTTGGTTCAGTAGGGGTGATGGGTTTGGGTTAGGCTAACGAATTTCCTCTTGTGTTTCACGGAATACCCCGTGAAGGCGGTCCGATGCTCGAGGGTTCGGGGGGCAACCTGGGCGACCGAGGATTTGGATTATCAATGACCTTGCAGTTGTGGTGTGGGTGTGTAGGCTATGTGCGTGTGGGGAGGTGGTTGTTGTAAAAAATAGAACGTTATGATAAATAATGTTGGGCAATCTTGTTGATTTTGAAGGGGGAGTGTATCATGTCGCCACCGACTGTCTCAACGGAGTTCGACAGTCTCGGAACTTGTACGTGAAAGAACTCCTGTTGATTGGGATCTGTACGGTGCCTCTCGATCGGTGCTTGTTAGGCATCGATGAGTCCTGGAAGTCTGAAAAGGAGCAACACGGCCCCGTCCATTCGCTTGCGCACAGCAACACTGCACTTCGATGCCGACGGCAAGGCCAGCACGATTCACCCACATTGTTGGGTTGACTACGTAGGGGCCTTGACTTAGGGACTTCCGAGGTGGCAGAACCAAAGACACCTCTATCTTGTTCGTGCAGAAGTCTTTTCGTGAAGAAAGGCTGACTACACTACTGTAGCATTGACGACGCTGACAGGCTGGCTGTGTGTATGTATGTATCTGCTGTTTATGTTGCGCTGCTAATACAGATGGAACACACGAAGTCTGGTTCCCCCTTCTGCGATTCTTGCCACACTTGGTTCGCAAGATTCAGCCGTTCGCTTCACTCATTCACCGCGAGTCGAATTTTGAGTGAAACAAAATGATTGATTTCAACATTTGTTCGTGAGTATTGTGAGAAAATATCCCAATCCGTTTGACTGCGTGCGGAGATTCGAAATACCCGTCCCACACGTCCGAAGGTTGCGCGCCTACCTACAGAGTCATCTGCTTTTCGTGGGTTTGGGGGGTAAACCAGGCGACGCTCAGATAACACCAAGAATAACTAACTGCGTACCAAAGCCCCGTTTATGAGTGCTAAACTTCGAGGGAAGATGCCAAGTGGCCGTGAAAGTTCTGCCTCCGAGGGGGCCGGCACAGCGAGCTCCCTCGGATCTGTCGTCCCCTCGCACAGCGAGCCCTCCCGCCGCGCTCGGTCGAAATACCTGGTATTGACTTCGCCGAAAGCGGGTGCGTAAACGATGGGAAACCCAGGTTGTTCACAACCCCAACACCGTCTTGTTATTCAATGCATATTACAATGGTGCGCCCAACATGTGAAACGTGCAGAGTGCCGAAAATTGCGCCGGCCTCGTCCAGGGAGACAATAGGTTCCAGGCATCATATATACCGATTTCAGGAATTTTCATGGCCTATCGCCAATGGGAACGTACCCGAAAGATTGCTCAGGACAAGAGCATGCATTTGTTCAATTCATCTCATGAACCGTTTACAACGTGCACGACATCTACGTGATGCGGCAGGTCCACCCAATCCAATTGGGCGCCACTGTACACGGTCAGCTGCTTGAGTCCTTCGGGCCATTTGACGCCGGCAAGTAGGCGGTAGTTGAAGGGGTCATCCAGCAGAAGTCGACGCTCTTCAAGGCTGGGCATCCAACTACCTAGACCTCGCGGATCTTGCCTGACGTTCGGGCCTCCCAGAATAAGCCGCCGCAATGATGCCGGCCACACCGCACTCTTGAGACGCTTGTTGAATTCCGAGAACAGCGCCGACGCATTGTGGGGCAGTCCATCTATATTAGTGCCGAACGTTAGCTCCTGCAATGACGGTGGCCACGTGACGTCAACGCTCTGGTTGAACCAAGTCCCGAACGAAAGCTGTTGCAGGGATGCCGGTCATGCCACGCCTTGTACGGCCGCAACTCCGTCGGCCATTCAACCCGGGCGATCGGCTTGTTGAAGCGACCCCCGAACGCCAGCACGTGACTCGAGGCGGCCATGCTACGCGCTCGACACTGATAGTCACGTCAGGACCAAACTCAAAGATTTTCACATCGGATAACGCTAACATAGGTCGAGTGAACTCATCCAACGAGGACGTGCGGTTCCACGTCACGCGGCTTGCTCGAAAACGTGGAACGCGTGTCGAACCGCCGCAATCCTCCGTCGAAGAAGTTGCATCGGAAGGATCCAACAGCCGGCCCGGAGTTTCATCATCGACCCTCAAGTGCAAGGTCGCCACCTCCCGACACGCCGTACAGAACTGCCGAGATGCCAGTTGTAGCTCCTTGGTCGACGTGTACCACTATTGGTCTTCTTCGCAGGTCAGGTTGAGGGCGACGGTGAAGGCATCCAGGGACCGGCTGAGCCCGAGGTCTGGAGGAACGATAGCACAGGGTCAGACCGAAACAACCGAAGGCCGGATGCCGATTATCGAGGGATATCCGAGGCCGAACGTCGATTAGATCCCAGGGAGAACAATTCCGAGAGGCCTGTTCCTGGTGTGTGTTAGGGGGTGCCGTGTGCTGCTGCCGTCCCTAACGCAGCGATGGGTACCGCGAACTTAACAATCACGCAGCGTGGGTGGGAAGCCGGGGGAGCATGGCGACTTCGGCGAAAATACAAGCGGGTGCTTCGATTGCACGAACGGCGTACCACACAAGGATCGATGGTGGGATCAGCCGTCTGCAACACAGGCCACAAAACACGTGAACGAGGTTGCGGTACGGGCAGTGTTTTTCCACGATGTCCAGAGCGGCACTTTTCTCCTACGGTAGTGAGGTACGCACTTCGGCGGGGAACCGGTGTACCACGTGAGGCTGTGATACGGGCACCGTGATGTTTGAAAGTTCCTCAACGTTGACATTGCTCGATGCAGTCAACGTCTCCATCACCTTTCTTCGCGTTGTCCATAACCTCGCAGTGGCCTCACCAACAGCGCCCGAGTAGAAAATGACCTACGAACAAGATGCAACGTTCTCCTGGAACACGCACGCACGAGACAAGAGAGCGACGACCGCAAACACAAGAGAAGCTAGGCCAACAGGTTACAACCCTGAGACCCCCCCAATAAATGCAATGTGAGGCCTGGTTGCCGGGTTCCAAATGGGCAAGGCGGTAGTAGAGGTTCCCTGTCTGGGAGGTGAACGTTGTTTGTGCAACAGCAAGCTTGTCCAATACTGAACCACACGCAGTTGCCTACGACTGGAGCGGACTGCCGCAAAACTCGATCTGTTCGGCCACGAACAGGGAAAGGAAGGGATCAAGAGGTATAAGGGCAAAGAGAGCAGTGCGTGTCGGGAAGCCTTCGAGCCGATGACATAGATCCAGAGGCGTTCACGACGACCCACGACAGGGTGCAACCATAATCCATTCGTGTACGACGACAACCCGTTGATTACCGCAAACGCTGTAGAGGTGGCCCTGGGGTGCGAAATAAAAAATAAGAACGGCATGATGTACTTCGATTCCCTGTACCGGGATCGCACGGGGTGCGATCTCGCCGGGCCCCAAATCCGAGATTCAGTTCTTTTTGAGCTGCTGGAAAGAGGCACGTGCATTTGCGTACACTATTGGGAACGGTGTGAGCAGGGCGTCACCCCTTCGTCATGTATGTACGGTCACGGATGTTAGCATCTCGCCTGTTTTCGTGCTTCGAGACCTTCATCGCTTGAGGCAGCGAGTCTTTTTTCACGCTTCCTTCTCAGGGGCACGCAGGGGTGTCGTCGGTACATTACCACGAACACCCGAGGACCACCAGCCACCCGTGGTGCTTGTGCTTGACGCCCACATTTGAAAAACTGGCTCTATCCCCCGGGGACGTGTTCCGCGCGAAGAAACCCTCGCAAAAAATTCAACAATGGCTTTCCATGGAACAGCACGATTTTTTGTTTTGATCGCTGCGCAACGCACGCGAGTCCCACAGACCATGCATGAATGCGTAAGAGCGAGTGATCAACTGCAGCGGATTACAGAAGTAGGACCTGCAGCCACGACGTCACCAGCCTAAACGTACACACTATCGAACGTGCGAAAAGTCACGACGGGTTCAAAAAAGTACCCGGCATATGATGCAAAATTCCAGGCAATCTGCGGGTTGTGTACGCACAACCGGCACTCACTTCAGAACGCCATTACGTAGAGATGCAATGATTCGACCGCGATGACATAAGACCATGTTCTCTTGCGTCGCCCCCGGGAGGTAAGCCATCTATCTCCCGAGGGGGAGCCTTGAAATTTGTGCGCAGGTTGCCAACCGTATACGCAACCGCACATGACATACAAGACGCCTGCCCCACCTTACCCCACGAAATCTAATGTACTGCTGTATATCGTGTTCGTGGAGAAAGACCAAAAGGGAAGCGGGAGACAACCTGCCGATACCGTATATACCGGTACCCCAGATGGAAACCACATGTCTGTTGTCCTATCACGCCATAGCCGAAGTCGCATTCGAATCCATAACCACTCGCTGCCAGGAAATTTAACATGAACCAGCCTGCGTTGCCGTTTCCGGCGTGCTCCCGGCCAGCACCAACGGCACCTACACCACCCACGTCTGTGTGACAGGCGGAGAAATGGCACCGGTCGGAGAGATGACAACGGGGTGCGTGCATACGACGCTGCCCAGCACCAGTAAGGCCCGTGTGTGTGTTTCATTGGGCATCGCAGCGGTTGGAGAGATCACGCCGGGGTGCCTTGAAAGAGCTCAGCTAAGGTATTTAATGACATTTCTGCACCGGGGTCGGAGAGTTGGCACCAGTCGGAGAGATTGCACCTGGGTGAGAATAAAAACAAGGAAAAGTCAAACCAGAAATATCTCACCCGGTGCCAGTTCTCCACCGTTTTTGGTCAACTAGCAGAATTGTAACATGAGGCCGAGAGATGGCACCGGAACGAGACATGAGATGTGTAGTTCGTTGGGCATTGGATCTGTACGAGATATCGCATCGGGGTGGCTGAATTGCATGTCCGCACCGGGGTCTGAGAGCTGGTAAGGTCTGAGAGATCGCACCAGGGTGCGAAACAAAGAGAACAAAAAAAACATATACATACTGTATAGGCTATGATCGCACACGGTGCATCTCTCCGCCTTCTACGGTAGGCATCGTCGATATACCATACCCCCCACCCTTTGGGAGAAGAGAATAAAGAGTCGAAATCGGAGAGTAGCAAGTCAGGCATCGATAGTGAGCGACGCCTCGTTCATGCGTTTGGGTGTTCGTGAGATTCAGATGCACGCAAAGATCAAAGCAAGAGGGTGTTCCGCTGTCCGAAAAAATATCATATCGCCAAGATCGTACATAGACAACACTGCTGTCCATCTCTGTGGACCAAGTGCAGTGGCAATCCCTGGCTTTTTCACGTTGTCGTATGCGAAAAGTCAACATGCTTGCGAAGTATTTAAGTGTCTCGCAGAAGCAACGGAAGGAAGATCCAGACAGCGTTTCTCACATCAATCTCGTCAGGTCTCTACGACTGACGTCTGTTTCCCTCACATCCCACATCGTTGTATAACCACAAGCCACAAGCCATTCCATTAACGTAGTAATGAGCAATGCAATAGCAGAATCTACCAAGCTCACTCCTTACCCGTCAGTGTAGCAACAGCTCCAATCCCCAAAGAATGATCATGACGAGCACACCAAAATGAAAAAAAACAAGACACAAGATCATCCGTTTTCCCTCGCATCACCCCTTCCTGCTACACGTCCTCGTCCACCGGAGCCTCCCTCGCCACTCCAGGCCCACGCTGCACTCCCGCTGGCACGGCACACCTGGTGGCCTCATCCCTCATTATCTGCTGCATCAGCGTGGCACAATCCCCGTTTTCATCGGAAACGGAAGCAGCGTTGCCGCCCGAAAGAACGTACATGACTCGATGTGGCGGGTAGCCTAGCACGTTGACGATGATATCGTGAAAAAGATTGCCCTTGAGTCTGACCCGTGTTGTCTTCCATGCTGCAGATTCGAAGCAGCCCGGACCACGGCGCCTGAGCGGCGACGTCCCAAAAGGCGACGAAGGTGGGAAGCTGCTTGCTTCCTTTTGGCAAGGATTGATCTCCCCCAATCAGAAGGTACGGGGCTGTCAGAATGGCTTTGATGAGCTCAGTCTTTCCGGATGCGAAACGTCGGGCCAGGGCGCGCCCGCCATCGTCCCAGTGAACTTAGTCTGCCCATCAAGCACCACGCGTGCAGCCGCCCGAATCGTGCCCCTGACCACGGACCTACTCAGGGCAAGGAGGGTGTCCAATTGAGCGCATTCTTCCGCGAACGGGGTAGAGTCAATCTCAGACTTGTGACTTCCGCGTTTGCCTTTCCGCTTCACTGCATGCTCCCCCGGCTCCCATTCCTCCTCGCTCTCCGGCGCGCCGTCGTAAGGCGCATGTCACGCACGCAGGTTACCCTCGGCCCCGTCTTCAACAATCGGCTGCAGCTCTGCCGATTGCCGCGCCTTGCAAAACTTTCGCTATCGGCGATTGCTTTTTCCACTTTCATCGCTACTGTCCTGATTTCTTCGGCCGTGGGCCTTTGGCCGATGGCCTGGAGATGAAAGACAGAGGCATGGTCTATATCAATGAGAGAGAAAATGGGGGTTAAGAGAGAGAACGGAGGGTCCCAACATCTTAATGTATACCTAATCACATTAAAGACTGTACCACGGCTGTTGATTTTGCCGTCGGTCCTCTCTTACATGGTACGACGGCGAATAACGCAGACATTAAACTTTGAGTAGGAGTAAATGAGAGAGAGAGAAACAGACAATGTAGACGAAACAACCATTCAGCTGGAAACATGCACGGCTTCTCTCACCCCCTTCTTCAACCCCGGGTTGCTTCTCTTGATAACATTCACCTAAGACACCGTTGATTCTAGATCGCGCTTCGCCTGGCTGACCTCCATCTATGCCTGGATAAGCTGTCGTCGCGCCGTCGGTACGGGGCGGTTCTGCTGCTGCTGATGCTGGTGCGTCGACGCGGTGGGCGACATAGCTCTCGGGCAATACATCTCGAGGAGTTCATCGCGCGCCCTGTGTGCCTCCTCCTTTTGTCAAGCCAACTCACGTAGGTGCTGCTCCAAGTCTTCGACAGTCTCGGTAGGCTTAGCTCTCTCATCCGCCCACTGGGTCTGCACCGCGCGCAAATGCCCCCCCGACGTTAATCTGTCCCGCTGCTCAATCTCGGGCTATACCTCTACCTTGACTTGCACCCGCTGTTCGTGTTCGATTCCCAGCACGCGTTGATGCTCAGCTGCCCCCTCTTCCGCCGAATTTTGTTTCCCGGCCGACTTGCTCTTCGCCCGGCACGCCATTTCCAGATTCTTGGCGTATGCTTGCTTCTCAGTCCTGCTTCAAAGGAGGGTAGTCCTTGTCCTCCAGGGCTTGTTGATGACGGGGATATACCCACCGCTTGGGAAAACTTGTATCCCGTCTTCTCCATAAATGCTCGTGTATCTGTTTTGGGAATTGCGTTTTTTCTCAGATTGGTCTGGGATATGGTTTGTTAAGTCCACGCCGGGATGCAAGTAATAGAGTAGAAAGACTGTGCCTTGCTAAGCAAGGAACTTCGCTTTCGTCCAAGTCGTAAGATCGCGTCGTATGATGCAGTTTTTTCTATCATGCTGTCACCACTAAGAACCCGTCTCCATGAGAGCAGGACCGAGGGCAGTTGTTCTTGGTCGGCGACGCCTTTGGTCGGGACGAGATTTGTTTGCGTTAGCCGCACAAACTCAATCGCTAGAAATCACCCGTATCAGATCCCAATGTTGCAGGTAGAGACAAAGTCCAGCAAATCATGCAAAACAAAGAACTACCGTAATTTTTTCCTACTACAGCCTTTGAGATTGCGCATCAAGAAACCGTGAACCGGGCGATTTCTAGAGTATGGTCTGCAGGCAGGTATGGCAGAGGTTTGAAGACCCAAGTCTCAACCACGAGTGCTCGGCGCTCCCAGTTGTATTCTTGCACGGCATTCCCAGGCACGTCTAGCATACCGTCCAACTTAATATTGTTGAAAGACGGCAGATGGTGCCGGAAAAAACACACACATTTTTACAAACATAAAAACACACACATTTTTTCCCGCTGGCACTGACGTCTTTTAATTGGTCAGCCGGTTAGCGCGGTCGATGCTAATAATAAATACACACACACACACACACACGCACACATCGCCTGGGCAGCCGTGGTGTATCTGATGTCTCAACCGTGGGCCGTTTGTTAATTTCCTTTACCACCCGAAATTCTGGGCGACTGCCGTACAACTAGTGCACTCTTAACTGACCGAACGGCCTGTCGAACCGGTAGGCAAATATTTACTTTTTTTTACGTGTGTCCAGCTCTTCTCGACCCGGCAGTACAGGCTAACTGTCACCATCCTCCACGTGTGCGTATGAGCCCTTGCATACATCGCACGGGCAGGGCAGCAACGTCCTCTTTCTTTGGTTCGGGTTCCAGACATTGTCCGACTCTGGACGCCGCAAGCTCTGGTCCACTAAACATTTTTCGCCGGTTCAAGGTCGGGCTGGGGCGCTGAACCTTTCGCCCTATGTGCACGGCGATCCCCAGGGTGTTCAGCAGGGTATGCACCCTTGTGGTGTCCGCATTCGGTGTAGGCCCTGAACTGCGGCAACGCCGCCCGCGCCGCCCCCGCCGCCCCCGCCCCAGGCCCAGCCAAGATCGGCGACCCCTCTACCGGGTCACCTCCTGCCCCGGAGCCCCCTACAACCACGCCATGCCCGCTGCCTGCTCCCGGAAAGACCTTGTAGCTTGGCAGAACTTTGCCAGTGACGAAGGGCGGCCTCCGCGGTGGCGTCGGACACCACGTGACCTACCGCCACGCAGGCGGAATGGCTGGCGTTGTAGAGGCGCACCTGTAGTACGCGCAGAGGGCAAAAGAACGAGGGCAAGCGTTGTTGCTTGGGTTTCAGCACAATTTGGAACCTGCCATGATCTGTTGTTGTCGGTCCACATCGAAGTACGGCCGATACCACAATGCGTAGGCGCTCACCTTCAAGCCGACAGCCGGGTCGAACGGTGAAGAAGGCACGGACGTGATCGGGTCCTTGTTCGTGTGGATGGCCTCGTAAAAGAGTGCCGAGGCAACGGCGTCCCTGATGGCGTAGCTCGCTGTTCAACGGAGAGTTGAGCGCTGCCCCAAAGGGAGCATCGGACGGTATCCTTCGGCAGCTGCCTCCCCAGGAGGCACGCCGTCAAGCCGGCGAGTGTTCGAGACGATGTCACCACCAACTTGGAAANCCTTCAAGCCGATAGCCGGGTCGAACGGTGAAGAAGGCACGGACGTGATCGGGTCCTTGTTCTTGTGGATGACCTCGTACAAGAGTGCCGAGGCAACGGCGTCCCTGATGGCGCAGTCTCGTTGTTCAACGAAGAGTTGAGCGCTCCCCCAACGGGAACATCGGACGGTATCCTTCGGCAGCTGCCTCCCCAGGAGGCACGCCGTCAAGCCGGCGAGTGTTCGAGACGATGTCACCACCAACTTGGAAACGGCGAGGACACGCAGGCCCACCGTGCTCGCCATTTTCACGCCATGTCGTTGAGCATATGCGTGGCATCCGTGTTGATGGCAACACCAGCCTGCACAGAGGAAACATCGAGTCGCCGAGTCGGCGTTCAA